GGCAGCTGAGAAGGGGATTGATTTGAAAGGTAAGGGGAAGGGACTTGAGTTTTACATTATTTCTGTCCCTTTTTTTTTTGGCTACACATTAGCACCCCTACCTGAGGACAAGCTGAAAAAGCAAATGAAACTCAAACTGTGGCTCCTTGTTAAAGAATCTGATATATTGAAATTTGGGAAAATAGATTGAACCTATTTACTAAAATTAGATTTGGGGGATTATCTCTGGATTTAGTTTATCCATTCAGTTCTCACTACCCTAACCTCTTGACAGTTAGGTGGTGCAGGGGATAAGAACTTTGTGCCTCGAGTCAGGAAGACCTGAGGTCAAATTCAGCCTCAGATACTTACTAGCTTTGTGATTTTACGCGTTACTTCACCTTTGTCTGATTCAGTTCCCTCAACTGTAAAATGGGAGTAATAATAACACTTAGGGACAGCTAGGTAGTAAAGTGGATAGAGTGCCAGGCCTGAAGTTAGGAAGACTCATCTTCCTGAGTTCAAATCTGGCCTCAGACATTTACTAGCTGTGTGACCCTGGGGAGGTCACTTAACCCTGTTTGCCTCAGTCTCTCATCTATAAAATGAGCTAGAGAAGGAAATAGCAAACCATTCCAGTATCTTTGCCAAGAAAACCCCAAATGCGTTTGCAAAGAGTCAGACATGGCTGAAATGACCAAACAGCAACAACAAATAATATTTATCTCCCAGAGTTATTGTGAGGATCAAATGAGAAAATATTTGCAAAGTGCTTTAGCACAGTGCCTGGCACAAGTAGGTCCTTAATAAATGCCTGTTTCCTTCACCTATGCCCCTTTTCCCTATTCCCCTTTGCCAAGATAAGTGAAAATTGAAAATATGTCTTAACTTTTTATTTTGGGGAGCATAGGGCAAATGGAAGTCCATTCATGGTCTTCCGGTTTACAAGTGTTTCTTATCTGACCAATGCAAAGCAACACCATGGATGATTTCTGTATTACAATTAGGACAATCAAAAAATCTAGGTGACGAGAATCCACAACATAGTTAAGATTTTAAAATCTGACTAAGTAATTTCTCCCTATTAATCTGAAGCCTCCCTCATAGTAAGAAAGCCCTCTGAAAAGAAACCCGTAAGCCAACCATGCAGATAAAGAAAAGTAATTAAAAGGCACAACCTATCCTACATATATTTAGGTTTAACAGAATGCTGTTGACAACTTCACGAGCTCCAGAGCTGAAACCCAATCCTCTCCCTTAGATTTGTTATATTTTATTTTTAGAAGTAGTTACTTACCTCCGGTAAATGGTTAGCGAGTGCACCACCAGGTCTGCACAAGACAAAACTAAAAACAGAACCTGGTGAACTAAGACGATCTTAACACATAGAAAAAGGGTCCAAATCTGGCCCTGCACATCCTGGCAGTCTCTTTGACAATCAAAACAGGAACACTAAGCTGACATTTTGCCAATTAACACAAAGTGAACTGTACTTGAATTATTTCCTAGGCATGTTCAGGATATGAGCCTTCCCAAGTGCCTCTTCTCTCACTCCATAATTATAATCAACCACAAAAGCAATTTCCCCTATAGCTTGTTTTATTAATTCTTCTTATTGTATCATATAATATAAATGTTTCTCTTTGAAATTCAGATTAGTTTTGAATTTTCCCCAGTGGGAAAAACCTTTTCAAGAAAGAGCAGTAAAATGTTTTAAAGATCATAGAACTGGAAGGAACTTTAGAGGGCATCTAGTCCAAATGCTTCATTAGGATAGCTATATAGACATATGTATCTATATCTATGTGGACAGATATTTCTGAATATATCCCTCCTCACTCAATGAACTATCCTTTGTAACAAAAATAAAATAAAATAACAGAGTTGGGAGGGGGAAGGGTTAGAAATAATTTAGCAAAACTAACTGATACATCAACCAAACCTAATAGTACATGTAATCCAACACATTGATTTTTTTTCCATATGAGGAAACTGACGTCTAGAAAGGTTAAATGACTTGCCTGAGATCACAGAGGTAATAAATTTTGAAGCTGGAAAGTTAGTTCCAAGTAAAATGTAATTGAATTACCTTGGATTGGATGGCATAACACAAACTATAAGAGTAAGAAGTCTAAAATCGGTGACTGTCCCTGACAAGATGGACCACAGAATATAAAAAAGAGGGAAGGTAATTGGAGGAAGAAAACAACAGCTACTTATACTGCATGCCCTGCAATTTATTGCTATTATTGTAAGTCTCACTTATTATTACCAATGTCATCATTTGAACTGTTTATTTCCATAACCATGTCCAGGACTATGTTCTACAAAGCCTTCTCTGATCTATCTTAAATAGTCTCCTGCTCTCCAACTAAATTCCAAATCTTTACCCACTAAATCTTAACCCAACCCACTTTCTAACAAAACCAAACTCCCCCAAGCCCATTTTAGGAATTAGCAGTACTATCAGTTCTTATACAGAAATTCTGGAGAACAGCAACTTATTATCAGACGCAACTTTACCACTGTCACAAACTCTCTTGTCATAAGTTACTGTGGCTTTTTTTCTTTCTAAGGAAAGACATCACTTTGCCCTCCCTCTTTCCTCTCTCACAGAAGAAGGTGGGAGATACACACAAAGTTATTTGTATAGTAAATAATTTAATTTTCAAACTCACTGTACCTCAGTTTCCTCATCTGTAAAAAGAAGGTACTAGTCCATCTTCTCTTCCTATTTTTTTATAAAATTCCTGAATGAAACCTTTATTCTCATTCTTATTTCCCATTACATTCACTCCCACCATAATGTTCCTCCATTCTTTCAGTCTGCTTATCCCTACCACGCTCTTCCACGTTGTCCTCTATGTGTTATTTATTTTAGTTCTTTGGAGGCAATGGTCTTCCATGTATCATTAACATATAGCAACACCAGTACCATGTTAGTATTGAAAAGATGGGCCTTTGTTTTCAAGAGAAACTTAGGGTCAATAAAAGAGTTTTGTAATTTCCTAAAAGCTCTTCTGTTCAACTCTGCTATACCAACATGTTGGCCAGTTGTATTGTCTTTTCTAGATATTGGACGTACTATTGGACAAGCTCTGTAGGTTTTCATCCCAATGCATGTTGCATTCTATGCAGTAGATATTCTTCAACCTCTTGAGCTCTCTTGTGTGGACAAAGAGGCCGAAGTCCTTGGAGGAACAGATTTTATATGTCCGTATATGTCCATAGATATATATATATGCATGCCTTCTCCCCCAATGGAAAATAAGCTCCTTGAGGACAGGGACTGTTGTCAGTTTTGTATTTGCATCCTCAATGTCTAGAATATAAGTGATTAATAAATGCTTGATCAATTGATTATACTCTATTAATTCAGAGTTTGTGACAATTCAGAGAAAAGTTGAGCTGTTTTTCACTTTGTGCATATTTTTGTGGGCTAAAATTGTCAAATAACAGTGTATAAAAGCACCACTGGGAAAGTAAATGCTTTAAATGCTCTAGAGGCACTTTTTAAAACTATGAAACCACAAACTTCTGTTACTTACAACTTGTTTTTAAAAAGTATGTATTAACTTTAACAAGGTAGAAACCAAATCACCCTGTTTGTTTTTATTCCTATTTTGAAATCCTTTTCTGTGTTTTAATCCAGGTAATTTTGCTGCTGCTATTATTCTTATTTACTTAGCTATAATCAGTTTATATGTTCTTTTGTTTCTGCTTCCTTCATTTGGTATCATTTCATATGTCTTCACATATTTCTTTGTGTTTTCCATGCAATAGGATAATATTATATTAAATTCACATATCACAATTTGTTAGCTGTCCTCCTAATCCTTGGACATATGGAATGTGCCTCTAGATTCTTGCTGAGACAAATAACAGTTTTTCGAAAGCACTTATTTCCATTCAGACATAATTGACACTCCTCCAAACCGTTTATGTTTCTTCAATATAAGGAGACTTTTAGGGACCTTTAACTAGTTAAAACTAAACCTAGTTTGAATTACCATAAATACTTAAAAGTATTTAAATTGCATTTCTTTTCAAATATTCTAAGGTATTTTATTTTACACTAATTAAGACAAAACACTTCTTCAATTAGCCCTAATTATTGAGGATTTATTGTATTTATAGATTAAATTAAAAAGTTAGCACTTTGTTTGGCACATAGTAACTGCTTTCCTCTTTTAGACCAAATCCTACCTTCTACAGGAGGCCTTTCTAGGTCCCCCTCAATGCTCATACCTTAACTTGGAGATTACCTCCAATTTACCATGCAACTATCTCATATATACAAAGTTATTCGAATATTATCTCTTCCTGATATCCCCATTAGAATGTGACGTCCTTGAGGATAGGGATTATGTTTTTGCCTCTCTTTAAATCCCCAGTGCAGTGCTTGGCATTTAGTAAACCTTTAACAAATGCTTGTTGACTGAGTGAACCTGTGATTTCTACCCAGTTCAACACCTTCTCTACATTTTATAGTCTTAGAGAGCTGCCTGGCGACCAAGAAGTTAAGAGATTTAGTCAGGGTCACAAACAAGACATGAACCCAGGTCCTCAAAGGCCAGCTCATGATCCACTGTGCCATGCCACCTCTCATCTTCACTTAATCAGTGTTTCTTTAATTGAACAGAGTTGCCACTGCTATGGAGGAAAAGAGTTATGCAACATCTCACATATTTGAAAACTGTAAGAATATCTAAGAAGGAAAGGGAAGGCTATTTTAGCCTGTTACTAAGTAATATAAGAACAAGAGAATGAAAATTAAATTAGACCAAATGTTATGGAAAACCTCCCAGGATCCTTCAAAGATACATGATGGAAGTTTTATCACCTAAAGGTCAACAGGGCAAAGAAATGACTAAATGCGCTCTAAGCAATTCTACTCCAGGAGGCAGTTGGACAGGATGGGCTCTTCAACCTTTATCATATCTATTTCTTGTGACTGAGTGATTCACAGGACAAGGATATAACCAACTTCTGGTTATTTGCCAAAAAGCTGGCCTGACTACCTGACTTGGCTGTGACTGTCATGGGAGTGGCGGCAGGAAGTAGGAAGAGAGCCATCCAAAGCCAAAGTATCCAACAGCCAATGTCCTTCATGGCCTCTGGAATTCAGGTGAACCAATGGCCACAAACCTGCAAAAGAGAAAGTTTTCAGATTGAGGCTAATTTTACCAAACTCCCTTTATTTCCCTCTTTGCAAATAAAAATATCACAAAAAGAAAAAACAAACAAACAGGTGCATCTTATGTAATATGGATGTCTTAGTACATGTTAAAATGTTCTGAGAAAGTTTACAGCTTAGTTTCAGATGTGTGACCAATGAGAAGCAGGGTGGCTTAGTTGTTAGAGAACGGCCTCAGAGCTAGGAAAACCTTGGTCCCAGTACGATTTCTCATACTAACTGGTTGGGTGACCTTGAGCTAGTCACTTACCATTGCAGTGTGTCAGGCAATTCTTTGAAATTCTGAATGAAGGAGCAGCTTGGACCAGGGGCTGGTAAATCCCATCTACCACCTGTTTTTTTGGCATGGCCAGTGAGTGAATGATTTTTACATTTTAAAATGTAATGAAACTTTATTTACAAATGTAAGAAACCATTCTTAGGTCTAGAGCTGTGGAAAAGCAGACAGGTGGTAGGCCTGAGGGCAGTGTGCCAATCCCTGAATTAGACAAATTGAATTGAGAAAACCAGAAGAAAAGTTTTAATTGCCAAGGACAAATGAAGAGTGTTATGTAAGACGTGGGGGCTTTAAAAAAAATCATTAGAAAAATGTCACCATCTCCTCTGGAACCCTAAGTACAGATGTAATCAACAGTCAGAAATGTAGTTACCATTTTTTTCTCTTTTATCAGCCACTAAGGCCAGTCTTTGACAGAACTGTGAAAATGGTAACAGCTATACCTCTCTACTAAGCTCCTCTTTTCAGCTTTTTCAACCTAGGGGCTCAGTGTTCTAAGAAATGGTGCCTACTTTCTAGTAACTTGAAATTTCATTGGGGATAAAAGACATAAATGTGAATAATTTAATGTCAAAGCAAGACATGCTTCATGATGTCAATCTTTTATCACCTCCTCCTCCCATCAAAACATTCCTCTTTTGGTTTTCATTCCTTCAGGTCCCTGTTTACTGTTAGGTCACAAAAGATGGTGAAGAGTCAGTCAGATAAATTAATCCTTTCAGTGAGTTAGCTCACTAATATGTATGGTATAGAAAAAAAGACCACAGGTCTTGGATTCAGACCAGAGTTCAAATCTCAGCTCTACCACTTACCTAGCTTTGTCAAGTTACTTAACCTTTCTAAGGTGCATCTTCCTCATCTGTAAAATCAGGCTAATAACAGGCATCTCCAGGACCTTAAGCCAATAGAATGAGTTTTCTGAGAATTTTGTAAAATGAAACAGGACCAGTAAGGGGGTGGGATAGGAATAGATTGAGGGGCACAACAAAGAGAATTAACAAATTAAATATGTTTTTCCTGAAATAAACCAAAATGAGTGAAAAGAAAAATGCCAAGTAAGTGTAATTTTGTGTTTTCATTTTTACACCTTAAGGTTGTGTGTGAGTTCTGTCATTTAACTCTAGGGAATATGAGTGAAATGATTCACTCCACAAAAAAGCAGTCACTGGAAGACCTGTCTGACAAATCAGCTTCATCCTTTCTGAGGGTCAGTATAGTATAATTAATAGAGCACTTGACTGGGCATCAGAAAGACCTAGGTTCGAATCTGCCTTAGACATTTATAAGATTATAGATTCAGCACTGAAAGAGATCTTAGAGATGAAATACAACCCTCTCATTTTACAGATGAAAGAACTGAGGCCCAGGGAAATTAAGTGACTTACCCAGGGTCACATAGCTAGGAAGTGTGGGAGGCAGGATTCATACTCAGGTCTTCTGTCTCCAGATCTAGTTCTCTATCCCTTATATCATGCTTTCTCAAACACGAGTCAGACGTGTGGTATTTTCTTTTTACATGGTCCAATTTCAAAGGACTACAAGGACTAGCACAGACTGGGAAATTTCAGAGCAGAATCATAGGCTAAAAGATCATCTAGTCTGACCCCTTCATTTTGCAGATAACAAGTCAGAGACTCAGGCAAATTAAATGATTTGCCCATTCAGCAGAATTTGAACCTAGGTCTTCTGACTCTAAGGCCAACACTCTTTCCATCCTACCATATTTACTAGCTATGTGACCTTGGGCAAATCACTTCACTGTTTGCCTCAGTTTCAGCAGCTGCAAGATGGGGAAAATAATAGCACCTACCTACTCCCAGAATTGTTGTCTGAGGATCAAATGAGATAATGATTGCAGAGTGCTTACTTAGCACAGTGCTTGCCACACAGTAGGTACTACAAAAACTCCACCTATTATTATTGTTATCATCGTCTTATTCATTAATTGTGTGACCCTGGGCAAGTCACTTTACCTCTAAGGCCCTCCTTTTTTCTCCTCTCTAAAATGAGGGGCTTAGACTCCATGATCCCTAATGTCCATTCCAGCTCTGAATCTATGATCTTATGAACCGTTCCCTACCTCTGACCTTGCTGCAAGTGACTAAAATTTCCATCATTAAATTAACTCTTCAAGGGTTTTCTGGAGACAGATTTGAGCTATTATTTTGTTTCAGAGAGGTAATAATAACATAGCACTTTGCAAAATCCTCTGTAAATGTAACTTTGTAATAAATAGAAATGCATGTGTTATAGCAAAGATTCAAGGCCTCTAGTGCATAGAAACATCCTCATGTCACTGTTTTTCAGATGTTGCCTCATAAGTACTAATGCCTTCTCCCAGCTGTGCTTTAATGACAAAAACAATATGTTAAATAGCCTATTTGCCTCCTTGATTCTACCACTCCAATACATCATACGAAAAGCAACAAGAATCATATAACCCATTACTCTGTTCCAAAATCTACAGTTATACCGCCCATATTAGAGCTAAACTGTTTTTGCTTGAAGATCCTCTACCTTTGCATCTTTCTCTGCCTCTTTCCCCTCCCCCACCCACCTCACTATCTAACTTCCCTCATCTCCTGTTACACTCCAACTTGGATTCTCTGTTTCAGCTAGGCACATGACTTGCTCACCCACGACTCTAAGCCTTGACACATGCCATTCCCCTTGCTTGGAATGCCCTCCCTGCTCTATTTGGGCAAACCATGCTATTCCCTGACTGTAATATTTTGTTCAAGATTCACTTCCCCTATGAAGCCTTTCCTGGCTAAATCCATCCAGATCCATTCATTTCCATCATTTCTGCTTTTTATAATGATATTGGAGGAATAAGGAAAGGCTTTAGATAGAAGGTAGTGCTGAACTGAATCCTGAAGGAAGTTAAGGATTCTAAGAAGGAAAAGGAAAAAGGGACTGTGTCCAGGGAAGTTGGAAGATGAATTGCTGTGTGTGAGGAACAGCAAAAAGGTGAGTTTTTAAAATCATAGCAAGAGAGATTTAGGTATGACAGAAGAAAAGCTTGCTCACCAAAAAGGTGATTTTAAAATGAAATAATATGGTGGATGTTAAATTCTCTTACTAGAAAGTTTTAAGAATAGGATAGGCATCCACGTGTGTTGGGTAGTTTACTTGTCATGATACTTGTAGGAGTCAGTAATTCAGATACAGAAAGTCACAAGAGGGATAATGATTTTTAATCATGTTTCATCTTTCTTTTCACTATCTGAATGGCATTTTCATTGTTGAGGTTCAGAATGAACTAACTACTTCCTGTGACCTCTCTGCCTCTTCTGGGGGAAAAAATTAGACACCACACACTTAAATTCCTCAAAGTTTTTAGCAATAGGACTGAACATGCTTTACATAGGAAATCCTCACTTTAGTGTTCATTCCGCTTCTGTCCCAGGGAATGAACTCCCTACTTCCAGACCACCTTCCTCTTCTGCTACTTGGAAGGCTATTCACACTGACCAACTTTCTTCTCCTCAGAGAGGTGGTTTTTATTGGGATACTGTTCAGGACCACATTCACATCCACAGTTCCAAAGCAACATCTTCACAGGTAATTCCCAATAGTCTACAAACTGAGAAAATCCTGTATCTAGACAAATTATCCTAAAAGTTGACCCCTAAAAACATAGGATCACTGCTTCTGGTTCAAAAAGGTAACCTTAGACCCCATCTAGTCTAACCCTCTCCAAACCAAAATCCAAGGAGGTTGTGTCTTCCCAAGATCAAATAATACAATAGATCAAAAGAGAGATTTGTTCCTACTGCAGTAATACCTTGCCTCCACAGGCCCCATTTAAGAAAATGCTGTTGTGTAAAGGACCAACAATTCAATTCAATTCAATAAGCATTTATTAAATACCTACTGTGTACCAAGTACTGTCGAAGGCAGTGTGATACAAATACAAAAACTAAATACCACTGCTCTTAATGAGCTTCCATTTTACTGGGAGAGACAATACACATATATAAAATTAAATACCGGGGAGTGGGCTGGAGAAACCACTAGCAAGTTGGGGTGGGGAGAGATCAGTATAGGTTTCATTTAGGTCAGGAGTTCTTAAAGGTTGTGTGTGTGTGTGTATGTGTGTGTGTGTGTGTGTGTGTGTGTGTGAGAGAGAGAGAGAGAGAGAGAGAGAGATTGACCCCTGTGGCAGTCTGATGAACCCTATGAAACTTCTTCTGAGGATAGCATGTTTAAATGCATAAAACACAGGATTACAAAGGAAACCAATTGTGTTGAAATAAAGATGTAATTTTTCCCCATTCAAATTCGCAGACTACCCCTTCCTTCCTGCCAAGTTTCCAGGGACACCAAATTAAGAATCCTTACTTTAGAAGCTGGCACTTGAACTGCACTCCCCAAGAAACGTGAACAGATCTTGTTTTAGTTAAAAAATCACAGTAGGGGTCATAAGATCATAGATTTAGAACCAGAATGGCCTCAGAGGTCGTTTAGTCCAGTTCTCTCACTTTACAGAGTTGGGAAGCTGAAGCTCAAAGATTTTAAATGAATTGCTAGCATTTGAACCCATGTCTTCTTACTCCAAATTCAGCACTTTCCATCATACACTGTTGACGCCTGAGCTAGGGACAAAGTGAAAGTTCTGGCTCCCT